CCAATTACCAATACGGGCTTACAGTTCAAGGCTCGACATTGTGTTGTCTACGATTAGACAGCTGATAACTCATTCCCGTACGTCGTATGGTCGTAACACTATAATGACCTTTGCTTATTGTCACAAGTGCGCCGCATTCGCGATTGTTGCCCGACGCCTGTTTGCAGGTGAGCCCACTACAGTTGTTATACATATCTAAAAACCGAAAAACTTTTAGGCGAAAAAGGCACTATTCCAGGCCCATTTTTGATTTTTTTGCGATATTAGGTAAAAACAGAAGCTTCTTATCCAAGGAAAAATAAAATGGGAAATCTTTCAAATGTGGCACACTACCTTTAAAGTCCTTTAAGCTGCTGCTATACACCATACTAGTGATGTCAATTAAGGAAAATCGTGATACCGATACCAAAGCAAATACAAGCATAAGCCATGGGAAAATACCGAAACCAAACAAACTCGGGAAAATCAGGTAAGTACCAACTTTTTACCAAACTCACAGCCTTTTCATATAAGCGACGGTTCAAAACAAAATCCTAAGGTGGGGGGGGGGGGGCACCTATAGACATCGCCTTGGTACATCGCTAGAGACCGGTTAGTAGGGTACTGACTACCGTCAACCGTGCACAAGTCAGTTGGAAGTAACATCCCCCTCGCAATTACGCAAATGCAAGGGCCACCCCCTCGCTGGCTCGTCTGTCGCCCCCCCCCCCAAGGTGTCTTACTGGCATTAACACTAAATACCAGTCTGAAGAGTGACCATTAGTGCGTAGGTATGCATATCATTAGAATCAGCACTGCTTTTGAAATCCAGCAATAGCAAAAACAAGTCGATCCCTTGCAAATTCTCAAACCCTGGGCCTGATAATTCCTTTAAAATCCGCGAGTAGCTGGGGAGGGGGGCGTAGGTACATCCCCACTTTTTCGCCGCGCTATCGCTAAAAATACGGCGCGCCGCAGCCGCACCAAATTTTGGTTACCTCTAGGGAATCGATTGAAGTTTATTGTTTCGTATATCGTTGAGAGCTTCTGCGAGGAGCATGATAAATGTAGGAAGTATCATCGTCGTGTTCTTTCGTTTGCCCTCTCGTGCGTTTCGCTGCGTCTATAGGTTCTCGAGTTATCGGCTGGAGGCGTTTACCCCCCCCCCCCCCCCAGCAAATGGCGGGTGGCGAAATACCCCCACCAACTGCCGGGTGCTTAGTTACGAAGCAATTGTAGACTTTCGTCAACAAACCCTCCAGTAACTAGCAAGACTCCAATAAAAAACGCGAGCTGATGCTTCACCGCGTGTTTAGCCTGAGATGAGCACTGCGCAACCGTGCCACATCAGCTGCCTGCGTGGATCCGCGTTCCCCGGGACGGACGGTCACCCCTTCTCGTCACGCCTGGCTGGAGTCGGGACGCGGCTACCCTCCTGCCCTCCCTTTCCCACCCGATCGTCGCCAGCGCGGCATTCCGGAAAGGATTAGCCATATCCATCCCCGATCTACGATCAAAAAGCACCGAGAGACTGCATGGCTACAAGTCGGAATACAAAACAGAGGCAAAGCTATAGTTCGTTTTTCTTAAGTTTGCCCCTCACTGTAAACATCTTTTTAAACACAGCACGAGAATTGCTTGCTGAATTACTGAGAAAACTGGTTAGCGCACATTGTATTGTAGATATGAATAATATTTTCAAAATAAGTTTTAAACACCGACGATTTAACGTTATGTTAAGCGCCGTGCAATTTATTTATTAGTTCAGGCAAAGTTCCTCTGAAGTCGTCTATCCCTGTGGGGCTGTAGGTATTGGCAAATACGAGCTACGAGTCTGTGAAAAAGTAAATAAATTTGATGAAATTGATCGTCTGTGAAATCTGGTGAAATCAATGTGCGCCAACCAGTTTTCTCAGTAATTCAGCTAGCAATTCTCGTGCTGTGTTCAAAAAGACGTTTACAGTGAGGGGCAAACTTAAGAAAAACGAACTATAGTAGCTTGCACACCGTCATGTGCCTTCAATGACCTGAAACTCCTTCAATTGCAAGAATGATAATAGTGAGCAGAATCAGATACTACTTGTTGCGAGCGAGGGACCGAAGCGGTCTTTTCAATATCTCGGTAGACAAATCTCGGTAGGAGCGGCCCGGCTCGGACCGGCCCGCCCTGTAACACTTTAAACCCTCGTCTTGTTGGGGGGGGGGGAGCTATTTTTGTCCCCTCCAGTCTTTTCGCAATATCATTAAAACTGCTGCGCCGATCGTCGCGAAACTTTCACTATCCTCTCGTACATTCCTTTTACACATTGTGTTTTAAAATTGTTCAATTTCCCATGATAGGTTGGCCAGAAATGACGTCAAAGTGACGTCATTTTCATCGGTTTAAAACGCTAATATCTCAGCAACCGCTGCACAGTGTGGCCGAGCACCAATTTAGCGCGAATTTAATCCCAGCGCCGCTCAGATCCACTGAAAATGGCTCCCTGGTTCCAAAATTGACACCGTTATGTGAGACCTTTTGCGATACATTGTAAATGCTTGCTGGCACACAGCGACGTAATTTCGCAGAAAAAGTGAGGGGAACTAGACTAGGTCACGACGGGTGATGTATTTACCAGGGCCGGGCAGTCGATTGATCTTCGGGCACTCTGACTTTGACTCCGACTCAAGCTTCCAAAAATCAATTTCGACTCCGACTCCGGGCTGAACTGTCGATAGACTCTGACTCCGATTCCGCAGCCATGACAAGTCTGCGGAGTCGATGAATTTTGGTGACTCCGACCCCGAGTCTGGCTCCGGATTCCAAAATCGATTTTATTTCGACTCTAACTCCGGTCAGAACTTCCACCAGATTTGGACTCAGACTCCGCGATCCTGGTATTTACCAGCAAGTAAGAGGCATAAAATTAAAGAACAAGTGCGTGGTGCTTCGTTCCCATTACCATTCCGCCAAAGGTCTGGTGCGACCCAGTTTCATCCAACGATACAAGGCTGCTACAAGGTCAAGGTCACATGAGGGTTTCCTTGCTAAAAGTTTTTTTTTCACTGATTCAAGTCGGCCAAATGATGAAGACATTCTTGCCATCTTAACCCACGAGCCGCTGGGGGGGGGGGGGGCATAAAGTTGCCCCCCTTTACGTTTTGTGAAATATCTCCGAAACCTGATGAGCTACGAACGTGAAACTTGCCATAGCTTCAAATGAATACCTAGGCAATGTTTGAGGAAAGTTTGGTGGTTGTAGCACTAACGATGACGTCACAGTGACGTCATACAATTTTGTCGTTTTCCGATATGGACCGTTTCTGATGACGCTGAGCATGAAACTCGACTGTAAATGAACTAGACAGCACCTGCTGTCATCCTAAAATATCTTACCTACTACACTTCCATCTAGTTTCTGACCAATAATCGGCCCTTTCTATTCGGTCCCATATATCTGATGTATCGTGAGGAATATGAGAGTCGCAAATTTATAATTTCACTTATGACGTCACTGTGACGTCATTTCAAATGGGATCGACACCAAATTTGGACGCAACCTCGGCTAGGTATTCAGGAAGATGTGTGCAAAGTTTCGCTTCTCTATCTCTTCACGTTGCGACGATATCGTCGCAGAAGTAAAGGGGGGGGGGGGGCAACTTTATGCCCCCCCCCCAGCGGCCGGCGGGTGGCGCGGAGGCCCAGCGCGGCGGCCGCCGGGTTAATGCTCTAAATGAATGCTTACAGCAAACTGGATGCCAGATTCGTGATCAGCGGTTACGAATCGTATGTGTAAGCTACCATTCATGTGTCTAGGTAAAAAGAAGGTCATTCGAGGTCGCATGAGGTCAACATAAAACTGGAACTTTTCCATGCAAAATATATGTCATTCGATGCGTCTTGACAAGACGAATGCGATAGTACCACTACTGTAGCTCTCGGACCATTTTTGTTAGTTATTTGCGAAACACCAAAACCTCAGCTCAGGGTCGTTGACCTGACCTCTGACCTCAGGTCACCAAAATTATTTTCATACTTTTTTACCAGGGGTGCGGAGCCGGAGCCGGAGCTGGAGCCGGAGCCGCTGGAGCCGGCATATTTTGCCCTGAGCCGGAGCCGGAGCCGGAGCCGTCGAAAAAGGGGGCGACTCCGGCTCCTTTTTTTGAAGAGGAAAAATTATTGACCTAGTTCGGTTTGACAGTTCAAGGCAGCAAAACATGCGGTAGTCAAAATATGAAAATAGCCTTGTTATGCAAATACAGAAGCAGCGCGCACCAATCCCATTATCTTGTTTCTTCCACCCGTATTTAATTGCATAGGGGGTGTACTGAGTATTGGAGCCGGAGCCGGAGCCGGAGCAGCCGGAGCCGGACCATTTTACTCGGAGCCGGAGCCGGAGCCGGAGCCGCCATAACATTTCACCCGGAGACGGAGCCGGAGCCGGAGCCGATTTTTTTTTCTCCGGAGCCGGAGCCGTCTGAAATTTTCACGGCTCCGCATCCCTGCTTTTTACCCACATCAAACGCCACGCAACCGCTTCTGTTATTTGTCACAATCGTTTTGTCATAATTGTTTCACAATCGTTTTGTTCCATGATATATTATTTGGGCATTTTGGGTAGGGTGAGTCAGGTGACGTCAGGTAAGGTCGATCATCAGGCTATTCTTATTTCGTATTTACCAACACTGATAGCATCGGCCCGTGCCGCTGGTCACTACAGCGAAACTTGAGCAGCACACCCAGCGCTACTATCCACTAGCTCCTCAGCTAATTACTTCGACTGCCCGGCTCGGCCCGACCCTGCCCGGCCACCCTACCCGGAACAAATTGGACTCTGCGGGAGGTCGCGGGAGGGACCACAGCTTCAATGGGCCGCCCGACCCTTCATTAGGGGGCGCCACCGGACAGAAGAGTGTATACGGCGGCCGATTTTCACACACATTTTACACACATATTGACAGAACACCGACTTAACAGGACCGACCTCAAAATGGCCCTAGGGCATGTTTAGAGGCCAAGGAACATGGCCCCGGTCTTGGAATTGTCAGGACCGGGTTTTCGGTCCTGACAGGGAAATCGGTCCTGTCGGGTCGGTGTGTATCCCGTCATCGGCCCTGACAAGTGAGTGCTTACACACGCACACACACACACACACACACACACACACACACACACACACACACACACACACACACTCACGCTCATACAGGCGCGCGCACGAGTAAGCATAATGCCGCGTTCGCGGGGTGGGGCGCGCCGCCGGCACAGCGGCGCGCCCTCTCAGTATCACATCCGACCTCCGACGCACCCAGGAAGATCTCGCGCGCACACGCGACGCGCGGCGCCAGTCCTAAGAGCGGCGCCGCGCCGCCGGTTTGATTTGAATATACTCTGTCCGTTTGTAGGGTGCGCGGCCGCGTGCCGGCCGGGTCAGCGGTCAGCGGTCGGCAGGGTGGCGGCCGCCGGCGCGCCCGGCCGAGGTCACACGTGCCGCGTGGCCGGCGTGCCCTGCGAGCGCCGCTTCTGCTGCTTCTGCTGCTTCTGCTGGCGCTGCCGCTCGGCGGCCCGGCCGCCGCTGGCGCCGCCCGACTCTACGTCATCGCGCGCACCTGTCCAGAGAGAGGTCAGGTCAGGTCAGGCCAGGTCAGATTAGCGACCAGGTCAGGCCACCGCCGTGGTGCGAGCAACCCTGCAAGTCAGGCCAGTAACAGCAAAATAAATAAAAATGTAAAGAAATGATTCCGAAGTTGTGCGAGTTCACAGACCTAAAAGGCAGGATAAATGTCGACAACGCGGCTCGTTGCCGCGGTATATGTCAAACATACTAATAGCACTTCACACCAAAATACACCGGTCAACGCACAGTGTGGGTGGTGGCATGTGACAGCGCTGCAATATCAGCCGGAAATTCAGAGCCATGTGCACCAATAAACGCGACATAACCGCGATCTATGTCCATTTAGCTTGACACATGCTTCCCTAATTTAGAGTAACGGTCATTAAATAAAGTAGTCCGCAAGCAGACGCGCGAAGGATCATATATAATGCAACTTCGACGAAGAAAACGTTAGTGATTCATGTCGGAGCGAGCCCACATGCCTCGGTAAAAATGATGAGCCAGCCGTCCTGAGCAAACAGCGGTTTCACGCAGTCCTGAGTCGCCCGGTTCTTTGTAAGCCGTCATGTTGGATGTGCGATTAGTGCCAGTACATTAGCCGAACAGCGTCCATTCCGTGACGCACGAGTGGCGTTCGTGACACCCGAGTCACCGGCGTGTTTGAGCGTGACCACGCTCCGGAGACGCCATGGGCGGCGCGTGCTCTACAAATGAGAGCCGCTCGCTGACGCCCCGGAACACGCAGTGGCCCGCTCACGCGACCACGAGAACAGCGGCCGGCCGGCCGGTCCTCCGCCGCCCGGCCGTGATCCACTATCGAGTGGCCAAACAGCATGTCGCCTTTCGCTGACGAGCGTTATTAATATGCCATCGCGATCCGGGCCGCCTCTGGCCGCCAGTCGTATCAATGATGTACGCTCGGCGCGCGCCGTCGGCCTCCGCAAATAGCAGCCTGTGCCGGCCGGCCGACCGGCCCGCGACGCCGAGCGCCATCGAGCGACGCGTGCGGCCGACGGGGCGTGCTGACAAATTTACCGGCCACCGCCTCCGCCTCCGCCTGTTGCTTCGGCCGGCCTCACTTAGAGGCTATGTATAGTCTGGGTGCATTACGCTACCGACAGGATCGAAATGCGACAAAAACTGCCCGAGATATGCTAAAGTTATACGCGGCTGTGCCCACGGCAGTCGGGTCTGTATGCGACTCGGCGCTGAGAGGGACCCGGCGACTCTGGTCGCGACTCTCACCTTGTCGGCTGTAGTGGCCGCGCCCGGCGCCGAACCCGTGTCTCACGGGTCCCGCCTGCGGCTGGTAGGCGGGCGGCGGCCCGGTGGCTCGGCCGGGCCGCCCGCCGCCGCCGCCGCTGCTGCTCCCCCCGCTGTTACTGCTCTGTACGACCAGCTCTGCCTCCTCCCGGACCGGGACGGAGCGGGCGCCGCCGCCGCCGCCCCCTCGCCGGGGATGCCGCTGTAACAGAGAGTCACAGAGCCAGTCAGCACACACACCAAATACAAACGAGCGGACCCGCAAACAGGCCTGTCAGTCAGCTCTGAATTTAGGCATAAAAATAAACTTGCTGCAAGTTGGTGTTATATCGCAATAGACCGGGCACATACTCACTGACCCAGCCGAGACTGAATTATTAGGCATATCAAGTAAACTGATTTATTGTGTTGTGAATAGAGGTCGAGAGAAGGGCGACGACACGAATCATTTACGTCCTGGAATGACAGTATTCCGAGGTTCGTATGCAAATAAGTCTGTTAATCAGCACTGCACCACAGCAGTGGTCCAATTCAGGTCACTGCAGTGATCCAGTTCAGCGACGCATCAACGCTCGGCCCACGTCCGATCCGATCAGATCCATCATTTCATCTATTATTCGGATAGTAATACGGAGAACACACTGCAATGATTAGGTTACGAGCTAATCTGCAACTGGTGAGTCAACAACTGCTAACCAGGCTGCCGAATTATGTAAACCCACCCGAATGGATGAATAATTCTCAAAATTAGACGCGTGGCTCAATTCTGCTGAAATCTCATTCTCATTTATGTGATACGCTTTGATAGAAGAGGCCAAATCAGAGCAAGCACTCATCAAAAAAGATACGGAAGTCTCATGCACAAACGCCGGGTAGCTGCTTCACGTCCATCAAACGATTCATCTCATCCTCCTCATATGAAAACTAACAAAATCCAACCTTGACAGCTTAACGCGATTCGACGAAGAAAGATGCTATTTCCCCGGCTGAAACCGTTCCCTCAATAAATTTACCGGCTACTTTCCACCAGTCAGCATTATTGGCACTAGGCCTTCAGCGCCAAAGGTCGCCACCGTACGTCACTGTCGGATTACCGACTACACCAGCCGGCAGCATTTCCGCCATGAATCAATACACGATGGCTTGCAGATACGTCTCGCGCCCGTGCTCATGATGTACGGCGTGGCCCGCCGGCCGTATCGCAGTTTCTCGGGACTTTTCTGCTGGGTGTTGAGGCCTCAGCCAATGCAGATGATGGATATTGGCTCTGCCTTTTAGAAATGTATACCCTCAGCTAGCTACAAACAGACATGACTATGATTTAGTAGCATCGAGGCCGAGACCCAGACGCCCGCCAGAAACATCTATGAGCAACTTACAGTAATGAACTCTCCTGCACTGGGACCATGGAGCGGAACTTTGTTTCTGAAGCTGTCAGCCTGACAAAGAAGGTCAAATTTTGGACAAAACATGCACATCACGAAGACAAATCCAAATTCCAATGAGCGTTGTCAATCAATCAACTCTAAGGAAATAGCACCAGTAAAAAATAAATAAATTGACAAGTAGCTTTCTATATCGTAGTTATTGTACGAGCAAGATATATAATCGATTTAGGACCTGGAGGACTATGTCCAGTCTGTCTTAAAAGTACCGCGCAAAGTGACGGTGGATCCATCGAGCCTGACTGAGGAAGGACCTGCTAAATTTGGGTCACCGAAGCAACTGACATCCTCGTCCATTCCCTAGGTCAATTGGTCGGTGATTTTCAAATTAAAGCAAACCCTTTCTCGGTCAGGCTTGATGGATCCACCGCCACTTTGCGCGGTACTTTTAAGACAGACTGTCCATCAACAGTACGTATGGCGTCCGAATTTCATGCAAAGAAGAGTTCTGAAACGGTTACAAACTTGACACTAACTTCTTCTAAAAACGACTAGTCCAACCTGGTAATTGATAAAACGATGATGGGATGTTAATCAAATACGTCACATACTATTTCGATACTGCCGCCCGAGACCGTCTATCGCTGGTCACTAGTCGCTCTAGTCCTCTCCACCGACCGTCTCGCGCGGAACGCCGAGTCTGAACGAGCCGCCCCAGACGGAGTGTAGAAGTTATCTCGCTCCAAAACTCGGCGCTGGCCGCCCGTCGCCGCCTCTCTGGGGGCTGTTCCGCACGATCGCGCCGAGCCAGCGCCGCCCTCCTCAGACAGCTCCGCAATCAGGCCGGATCATTACGGCCGATCTGCTGTGTGGCCGCTGTCTGCGCCGGCCGGCCGGCTCTCATAACGACGCCGGTCAGCTCAGACCGCCCCCCCCCCCCCGTGTGTTAATCCTCCGCCGAGCGCGTGCGACGCAATCGAATCAAGTGCCGGCCATCAATGGGCAACGATCCGGCGACCAGAATACGCACCGCCACCGACCAGAATACGCACAGCCGACGTAATATGCGCGCATCGAATGCCGCTGGTAATAAGACGGCGGAGGGGCATCAGCCGCGGCCCAACTATGACCGTATGATCGGACAGGGAAGGAGGAATCAGACCCACAGACGCAGAGGGCTGCTGATGCAACTCACGGAGTAGAGAGGAAACTGAGGCAACTCACGGAGCAGCTGAGGAAACTCACGGAGTGTTCAGTCCATCTCTCATAGGACGAGAGAGATGGACTGAACACTTCACATGGGCTCAAAGAGACATAGTCACAGAAAGAGACGTGGAGACTAGGAGAGATGGTCACCCGCGGACGGAGAGAAGGACCGCCGGGGAGCGGCCACCGCTGGCTACATCTGTCCCACTGGTAATGGAATCCAGCCGGACGGCACGGCCCACTTCTTCAGGCGACCAATCCAATCAGGCCGGCACAGAGCATTGAGCGCACGGGTGCCGCGGGCAGAAGGCGGTGATAGTGTGAGAGTCACAGGTGCCGACGGTAGAGCAGTGGGAGCCCCAGGTACCGAGGGTAGAGATCTGTGAGAGCCACAGGTTCTGACGGTAGAAATTTGTGAGAGTAACGGGTGCCGACAGTAGATATCTGTCACAGCCACAGATGCCGTGGGTAGAGTGCTTTGATAGCTATATCAGAAAGAAGAGATGAGCGCAGGGTCCTGGAAGAGTTCGTTCCCGTTCACATCGCCAAGCGAGTTGGTGACATACCAAGCCAGAACGCTTTCCGAGTACTCATCGCCGCATTGCTGATGAAATCGTGCGCCATTTTATTTTGCAATGCCAGAGACAGCATGGGTAAGCAGTGCGTACATTTTTGGCTCAAAGTATAATGATAAAAAACGTAATCACATTTTCGCAGCGGTCTCAGCGCACGTCTGATCAGAAAGAAAAAAGGTAAGTCTATCCCTTCTACAGAGTCGTTGGTCTGATGGCTGCTGCAGAGCCATCAGCGGCAGGCGCGGAGCAATTTCCCACAATCGGCGGACGGTATTTCGTCGTCGACCCGGGGGCAAATAGCCACCGTTCCGCCGCGGCACAGTCGCTCCGTCACCGACTGACGCCGTCGGGGTTTCGGGAGAAATACAGCCCGGACCGCGCCTGAGGCGGGTCTGTTCCCAGCTCACATCCCTGCACTGTCAACAGCCGTGCTTAAACTACTGCTCCGACCCCCGTCACCGCGCGTCGCAGCAGCAGACGACAGCGCTCGACACCGAGCCCTCTGACCCTGCAGGTCGTCTTCCGCACGGGCCTCACGACAAGATGGACTGTCTCCGCCGAGACGGCCGGCGAGTCACCCAGAGAGGCGCACAAATTGGCCCGTGTCAGCTATGAAAAGTTACGGGCCGGCGGGGGCCTGTAACGACTGGTGACCAGCCCGGGACGGCCGCTGGTTTCCGGCCACACCAGATGCCGGCAGTCGGCTTCTAAATACAGGTCGTCGAGTAGGCGGGTCGTGCACCAAACGAGCGACCGAGCGGCTGCCTGAGCGCACTGCGGCACCGCCGAGCGCGGTCCAGGTAAAAGCACCGCGTCCTCCCTGGGGCAGGCATAATATCGCTAAATACTCGTTATTGTCGAGCGCCCGGTACGGTTTGCATTTGTGGTCGCACACACATTCCAATTAAAGCGCGTTTGGCTACCAAAAGCAAAAGTCACCAACCTAAAGAATCCCAGTGAAAAGCCTGCAAAAGTCCTTGGGTTTATGTAACGGTTGTTTGTCGCTTCTTTACCTTTTCGTATGGAGTCGCTAAAGTCAAACAAGCGAACGGAATTGCAACCTAGGACTCGAATCACCCTTCGAGGAAAAATAAACACTCGTGACCAAGAAGGCCATTCGACTGGAACAACCGAGGTAATCATTAGAAAATGCCAATGTTTGGTCTTGTACAATTGGGTGGCAAAACAGCACGCACTGCCATTCTTGCAGTCGCGGCTGGTGGGTCGTCCTATAGAATCACGAGTCTCCGACCGGACGCTCCTAAGGACTATACCTACAGCATACAATGCCACCAGGTAACGCTCAAGGCTAGCAAATAACTGCAGTCAGAATGACTGTGTGTTTCTGGTTTCCGCCAGCTAAAAATAACGCCCGGCGTATCCGCACTCAAAGCACACGCCCTTTCTCCATTGGCACCTGTTTGGGATTAATGTAAGGTGAGATCTTTGAAATAATAATAGCCCTATTTCATCCGCTGATTTCCCAGCAGGATCGATTTGGGTGTCATTTCGTGTTAGCGCTATTACAAATGTCCTGACATTTGACGTCACGTTTTCAAACCACCATATCTGTCTACGTAATAGTACCTGACTTCTACCGAAACTGGCATGTAGTAGCATCCAAAATCAGCACTTTCAGCAAATACTACCACTTGACAAAATCTAAAGCACTAAAACCCGCGGAACTGCACACTTCACGGCCTGGCGATATTACATTTGGCCATTACGGAAATTCACAGGCGGTTTAAAGGCCCTAGCCTGTTACCACCTCGCGTCTACGACCCTGCGTTACCAAGGAACAGCAGCGCGCTCGACGGCTGACGGCCTGCGGTACCTCCCCTATGTGAAGAGCCCCACTTACGTGCTGTCGCTTGAGCGTATCCATTGGATGCTTGAGCGTGTCTGTGAACTTTCTGGCCGGCGCCCGTTTGGGGTTGGACGAGGGTGTGTGTACGGCGCAACACCGGATGAAGAGCGCCATCACCACGACAAAGGCCACGGCCATCAGCAGCACGGCCCACCAGTAGTGCTGTCAGACACAGGGGCGTCAGGTCAGAGGGGGTACACAGACACAGACACTGACCACTAGTCAGACACAGGGGTGTCAGGTCAGAGAGGGCACATGCAGTCACGGTCCACCAGTAGTGCTGTCAAACACAGGGCTGAGGTCAGAGTGGCTACACAGACACTGGTGTCAGGTCAGAGGATACACAGACACGGCCCACCAGTAGTGCTGTCAGACACAGGGGTGTCAGGTCAGGTCGGTTCAAGTCATGTCAGAGAGGGTACATAGGCACGGCCAACACGTAGCGCTGTCGGACACAGGGGTGTCTGGTCAGGTCGGGTCGGGTCAGGTCAGAGAGGGTACAGTACACAGACACTGCCCACCAGTAGTGCTGTCAGACACAGCGGTGTCACGTCAGAGGGGGTACACAGTCACGGTCCACCAGTGGTACCGTCAGGGGTGACCGGGTTAGAGGGAAAATAGGCGATACCAGTACGGTCAGATTAGTCACACGGACAATGTCACACAATAATAACTCAAGTAGATACAAGGGTAATAATACACGGCACAAAGGACGTCACTCAGTTCGACATACGAGTACACAGTGCAGTGCTGCACACTGTATGCAGTTTTATTGCAGTGCCCAACGGCAGAATTGCTATCGAGTGACATCACCAGACAAGTAGACACAGACACAAATAGCGCCAACAACAATCCATTGATTAACACTGAGAAATTGCAGACTCATGTTACGAGTACACGCTGACACCCGAGTAAAAAACAAAACAAAAAAAAGAAAAGATAAAGAAAACGTCAAAGCCTGCCGCCGTCTCTATATAACCGGAATGGGTCGGTCGGGGCGACCATCCGCCGTCAGACGTCTCGCCGATAGCCAGTGTTGGCTGACAGCAGCCCGGTCCGTGACGAGGTTAGGGCCGCGCCGAGCCGGCAGCTGGGCCGCAGACTGACCCGGCGGCAGGGCGGCCGACCCCTCCGGCTATCTCCGGGGTCAGCCCGGACGGACGGCGGGGACAATCGTCACGACATAGTGTAATAAATAACAAGTGAAGACACTTCACCAATTTATAATGCAAACTCATGTAACAACTTTTCTTCAGCTGGGAGTGGGCTATGTAGCTACTCACGCTGCAGTATGACGTAATAAAACGTCATAAAACGTCACTTCCTAAATCATTGAACGCTATCCTCAGCCTACATCATCGCAAGGCCATCATCGTCTTTCATGCCCCGTCATGATGGATTTTTTAATTGACTTAGACATGAAAACCCACGTTTTTTTATTCCACTAAATGAAGGTAAATAATCCCAGTATCTTACAGAATTCCTTGGTACGTACACACAAAATCAGAGGACATCGATGTGCCACAGCCCGATGAAAGTCCTACTCGATCTAACTGCGCTCCAACATGCTGAACATCGTATCAGCATTCACTCTATTCCGTAACGTTACTCTCGAGAACCCACTGTTTTTATTGCATGTATGGTCGCTTACTGAATGCAATGTGACAGAACCGGTATGAAAATATTCAAAAACAGAGGACATCATAACACCACCGGCTCTTAAAAAGTGTAGGGTATTTTGACAACGTCTCTAAAACATAACCCATTTTGATCGGTCCTTTGATTGACATAGAATCGAGAACCCATGTTTTTTATTGCATTGAATGTAAGAAAATAATCGCATTTTCTTATAAAATGCGTGAAAATAATTAAAATCAGAGGACATCGATGTGCCACAGCCCGATGAAAGTCCTACTCGATCTAACTGCGCTCCAACATGCTGAACATCGTATCAGCATTCACTCTATTCCGTAACGTTACTCTCGAGAACCCACTGTTTTTATTGCATGTATGGTCGCTCACTGAATGCAATGTGACAGAACCGGTATGAAAATATTCAAAAACAGAGGACATCATAACACCACCGGCTCCTAAAAAGTGTAGGGTATTTTGACAACGTCTCTAAAACATAACCCATTTTGATCGGTCCTTTGATTGACATAGAATCGAGAACCCATGTTTTTTATTGCATTGAATGAAAGAAAATAATCGCATTTTCTTATAAAATGCGTGAAAATATTTAAAATCAGAGGACATCGATGTGCCACAGCCCGATGAAAGTCCTACTCGATCTAACTGCGCTCCAACATGCTGAACATCGTATCAGCATTCACTCTATTCCGTAACGTTACTCTCGAGAACCCACTGTTTTTATTGCATGTATGGTCGCTTACTGAATGCAATGTGACAGAACCGGTATGAAAATATTCAAAAACAGAGGACATCATAACACCACCGGCTCTTAAAAAGTGTAGGGTATTTTGACAACGTCTCTAAAACATAACCCATTTTGATCGGTCCTTTGATTGACATAGAATCGAGAACCCATGTTTTTTATTGCATTGAATGTAAGAAAATAATCGCATTTTCTTATAAAATGCGTGAAAATAATTAAAATCAGAGGACATCGATGTGCCACAGCCCGATGAAAGTCCTACTCGATCTAACTGCGCTCCAACATGCTGAACATCGTATCAGCATTCACTCTATTCCGTAACGTTACTCTCGAGAACCCACTGTTTTTATTGCATGTATGGTCGCTCACTGAATGCAATGTGACAGAACCGGTATGAAAATATTCAAAAACAGAGGACATCATAACACCACCGGCTCCTAAAAAGTGTAGGGTATTTTGACAACGTCTCTAAAACATAACCCATTTTGATCGGTCCTTTGATTGACATAGAATCGAGAACCCATGTTTTTTATTGCATTGAATGAAAGAAAATAATCGCATTTTCTTATAAAATGCGTGAAAATATTTAAAATCAGAGGACATCGATGTGCCACAGCCCGATGAAAGTCCTACTCGATCTAACTGCGCTCCAACATGCTGAACATCGTATCAGCATTCACTCTATTCCGTAACGTTACTCTCGAGAACCCACTGTTTTTATTGCATGTATGGTCGCTTACTGAATGCAATGTGACAGTACCGGTATGAAAATATTCAAAAACAGAGAACATCATAACACCACCGGCTCCTAAAAAGTGTAGGGTATTTTGACAACGGCTCTAAAACATAACCCATTTTGATCGGTCCTTTGATTGACATAGAATCGAGAACCCATGTTTTTTATTGCATTGAATGAAAGAAAATAATCGCATTTTCTTATAAAATGCGTGAACATATTTAAAATCAGAGGACATCGATGTGCCACAGCCCGATGAAAGTCCTACTCGATCTAACTGCGCTCCAACATGCTGAACATCGTATCAGCATTCACTCTATTCCGTAACGTTACTCTCGAGAACCCACTGTTCTTATTGCATGTATGGTCGCTTACTGAATGCACTGTGACAGAACCGGTATGAAAATATTCAAAAACAGAGGACATCATAACACCACCGGCTCCTAAAAAGTGTAGGGTATTTTGACAACGTCTCTAAAACATAACCCATTTTGATCGGTCCTTTGATTGACATAGAATCGAGAACCCATGTTTTTTATTGCATTGAATGAAAGAAAATAATCGCATTTTCTTATAAAATGCGTGAAAATATTTAAAATCAGAGGACATCGATGTGCCACAGCCCGATGAAAGTCCTACTCGATCTAACTGCGCTCCAACATGCTGAACATCGTATCAGCATTCACTCTATTCCGTAACGTTATTCTCGAGAACCCACTGTTTTTATTGCATGTATGGTCGCTTACTGATTGCAATTTGACAGAACCGGTATGAAAATATTCAAAAACAGAGGACATCATAACACCACCGGCTCTTAAAAAGTGTAGGGTATTTTGACAACGTCTCTAAAACATAACCCATTTTGATCGGTCCTTTGATTGACATAGAATCGAGAACCCATGTTTTTTATTGCATTGAATGTAAGAAAATAATCGCATTTTCTTATAAAATGCGTGAAAATAATTAAAATCAGAGGACATCGATGTGCCACAGCCCGATGAAAGTCCTACTCGATCTAACTGCGCTCCAACATGCTGAACATCGTATCAGCATTCACTCTATTCCGTAACGTTACTCTCGAGAACCCACTGTTTTTATTGCATGTATGGTCGCTCACTGAATGCAATGTGACAGAACCGGTATGAAAATATTCAAAAAACAGAGGACATCATAACACCACCGGCTCCTAAAAAGTGTAGGGTATTTTGACAACGTCTCTAAAACATAACCCATTTTGATCGGTCCTTTGATTGACATAGAATCGATAGTTATTATTACATAGTTATTTATTACACTATGGTCACGATATGGTCATCGGCGGCTGACTGCTGACGAGGCCTCGAAGACACCCGGGTATGGCCTGTGGTACACATTCAGCCGGAGCCCGCAGCGGTCATCCCACAGCGCCGGATGCGCTTAACCGGGCCCGGAGACAGATTCTGACAGATGGAGCACAACAAACGGCTGCGGACGGACCAACAGCGCGGAAACCCCGCACAATATACCGCCTCCTCTGACGGCCGCCGGACAACCGGAACATCAATCAGAGCTCGGACAAACGCAGCCGGGTCGCTTCAATGGCGAACGCAGCCGAGGGGAGCGGGAGGCTCTGATCTGGTAAAATAGGGACGAAATGACTTCTTTGAAACGTCCGGAAGGACTTGAAACAATGTGCATCTTGACGTACTTCACGAAACTCTCAGACAAATGTCTTCAGCGAAATGTTATGAGGATGTTTAAACTATCCCGATAACTACACAACTTGAGCAAACTATTGCAATACTTGTTATCCATAGAAGAATAGTTTGTCACAAGACTTTAGCCTGAAATTGCACAGCTGAGTTCGGCGGAGAGCTGTGAGTACTCCCCAGCGGCCTGTGTAAGGTGATCCGGCGCTTAAGGACGGTGCGGAAACTAGCGCTCTGCCACAGGTAACTACAAACCAGTTGGAAACATTATAATCCTCCTCAAACCAGTTTGTCATAGTCTGATCTTCTCGAGCCAGTTCGGCTCACCGACGGCGGCCATAGAGCAAGCGAGTATCCATGCGAATATTTTACAGGACAATGCGCCAACGGAATGTAATTGCTTGTCTACACATATTGCATGCATCAATGACAGTATCACATTGTACGAAAACAGCTACTAACGAAAGAATAAACGCGTTTTACCTTACGTGGTCGGTTCGGTCAGCACACTGAGCTCGCCAGGACGCTTGTTTTGTTCGTAACCGCACCACTGGCTAGCTACACAGAAATACAAACAGAGCTCAACAAACGCAGGTGCCGAGGTCTCGACACTGCGCATTTACAACTTTACGCCGCCTTGCAAAGTGCCACTCCAGTTGAAGGCCCGTTAAGCAAATCCACGTAGAGGAAAATACCACAAATCCGATACAAACAGTGTCGAACACGTCCTAGGCGCTGCATTCTCGTGTCGCGCGTCGATCCAATATCAAAACTAAGCAGCACTGAGAGTAGTCAAACTGAAGTTCTGGTGACGGAAATAGGGTGAAGTATGACAAAGTTAGGACTCGCTATAATTATGTAGCTCGTCGAAACGCATAAATAGCAACAGCAGTGTACCCTGTTTGAGTACGACAGTCACTAATAATAAAACATGCTGTATACAGACCGGCTTAAAAAAATTCAATGTCGATGGAAATGATGGGTGACGCATACCCGTACATAGCTAACAGAAAATCAATATTACATTTTTCACGGGGCCAGCGTCCTTGCCGCAAACGTTTATAAAATCACACCCACAAGTGAGTCACGTATTCCAAGTTCAGGAGTGAACCAGCGCAAAACGGCGATCACCGTACTCCGAGCGCCGCTCAAATTCCACTTAGGTCGACGGCTGGAGTGTTGAGACAACAGTGGCGCGGCGCAGCCGTCATCCGGAGAGCTGCAATAACACTCGTCAGCGCACACGGTGCGTCGGACCGACCAAAGGCAGCTCCAGCCGACAAGGCGCTCCAGCTGTCCGACAGGGCAGCACCGACATGTGGGGCAGGCGCCGCTCGCCAGGGGGGCGAAGGGCAGCAGTGGATGACGCCAGTGGTGCGAGACGGTAAAAATAACTGAGCCGGGCACAACGGAATAGGGTGACCTCGACGGAATACGTTACCAAGCCAAGCTCGACAAAATGTTTCCAAATTGTGCTCGGCGGAATAGGCAATCGGTTCCGAGGCTACTGGGTAACTTGAGCATCACGCCGCACAATTTGGCGGGAAATGGTACAAAGGGCAGTCCGAAGACGACTTCCGTTGTCAGGGCAACTGCACAAACTGCGGTACAACCAACCAATAAATGAACTGAAACCATGAATAAACACCACGAGGCGGTGTGGATGGATGAGCACCTAAATTACGTCCAAGCCGAAAAAAAACACTCAACGAACAAGTCATATAGCCCTGCTTCGATTCTGCGAATCCAACCGAGAAGCTTAACCCAACGCAGCCAATCCATCCACCGAATCATTACATTTGTGCGCCGGCGGCGGCCGCTGCTCGCGTGGCACGTAACCCGCTCGGTCCGGCGCCACTCTCGGTAAACCTCCAGCCATAAACAACGTGCGGCCGTGGCGTGCCGGCCGTGCCGCGCACCAGATTGCCGCCGTAGATTTTTCAGTGAGCCGTCGGCTGGCAATTCGCTTCATCAATCAGCGCGGCGGCGGCGGCTCGGCACTGGTTCCGCCCGTGCGATTATTACTACCCGGGGGGCGCCGGCGGCGGCCAGTCCGAGGCCCCGGGCAGCCAGGCCGAGGCCCATTGCTGACCAGCGCAGTGACATTCCCCGGGGAGCCGGACGGCAGACCGACGACAGACAGCATGTCCAGATTGACAACAGATGCTGTTCGCGTGGAGAGGCAACAGGTGACACAGACCAACAGGCGTATACAGACCAACAGGCGTATACAGACCAACAGGTGACACAGACCAAAAGGCGTACACAGACGGCATGAGTGCGGGACGGCAACACATTACACGCACCTACAGACGCATAGCTATGCACTAGGAAAAACCCATGTAGCTGCCGAGCAGCACACGCAATCACTACACCCACCCATCTGGTAGGATCTGTCCCTGTCAGAGGCCCGGGAGGTGGGGGGGGGGATGACGTCACTCACCGTCACCCACTCTACGATGGTCATCAGCGTCTGTTCCGAGAACAGCAGGTTCTTCAGCTGCACCAGCGGGCCTTCTGCGTCCACCCGGCGACACTTGAGGAACACGTCACAATAGCCCTGCCGACACAGATGGCACGCAGGGTTAGTTCAGGTCACGGCAGGTCAGGGTAGGTCAGATCAGGGAAGGGTATGTCATGGAGGGACAAGAGGGACAGGACAGGACAGGTCAGGGCAGGTCAGGGCACGACAAAAAGGGCAGGAGAGAGCAGAGTAGGCCAGGGCAGGAGAAGGAAGTCAAGGGTAGGGTAAAGCATGGCAAGGATAGGCTGAATAGGACACAACTGGACAAGGAATGGCCAGACGGGTTAGGAAAGGGAATTTTGCGGGAGCACTCATCTGAATTTCAGCACTGGTTCAAAACAGCGGTATCAATCATACAGCGCCACTGATAAGGACAGGGGTACTAAAACACATCAAACTTTGATAATAGAGCTGTTAGCAAAGAAGCCAATGTTGGAAATGGTTATCGATTTAATCATTAGAGCCTTGTAACAGCGAGCCAGCTGAAACTAATAACAATGCCACCCCGGCCAACTGTCACGGAACGCTTATTACATTATCCGAGTCTGCTGAGATATTTACGAGCCAGCATTTAGTGAACAATATTCATCCTAATGGTAAGCATACGACTGCATGATTGTTATCAAGTTTGATGTCCATTTTTTAATGTATAAGCATAGGTAGTAGGTACGTGAATTATGTAGTTAAGAACCCTGCCAGGAAGCATGAAAGCCAAGCATATTCGCATTCGCAATCAAGCATATTCGCATTCGCAATCAAGCATATTCGCATTTTAAACCACTGCGCAGTTACCAGCGGCTGATCCGAAGCTTTTCGCTCGTTTAGAGAACCCAAAAACACGATGCAACCAAGCTGCCGCTCATCGTGAGATGAAAGTCGACGTGGCCTTCTCAAATTCGCTTCATTAGCACAACGTGATCAGTTCAAATACACATAAGCTTCGCACGAGTATATTGATAAAGAAGAAATTAATCCAGGAAAAGATATGCCTGTCACGATCTGCAAAGCATTCATCGAACATTTAACTTGGGCCACCACAAAAGACCAATTTTCAAATATTAAAACTGCTAGCTGTAAAAGACTAATTTACTTTTGAATTGATGAGCCCATGGCTGTCCCAAAGATTGATGATTGAAATGAGGATCCTTCCCATTAGCGCGAAATAAATGACATGCAAAAGTCCGACTAACGACTATAATTTTGTGGACGGGACCACTGTGGCAGGCTGTAGAGTCGCGTGAATTCCCGGCCTTAGGGCTGGAAGGTGTTTCCCATACCTGCCAAAAAGCTCACAACTATATGACAGTGACGTCAGCAGCCGTGTGGTTCAACGTGTTTAACCACACCCCTTGAACCACACGGCTTGTAATATTAAAGGTAGTGTGCCACCTTTGAAAGATTTCCCATTTTATTTTTCCTAGGATAAGAAGCTTCTGTTTTTACCTTATATCGCAAAAAAAAATCAAAAATGGGCCTGGAATAGTGCCTTTTTCGCCTAAAAGTTTTTCGGTTTTTAGATATGTATAACAACTGTAGTGGGCTCACCTGCAAACAGGCGTCGGGCAACAATCGCGAATGCGGCGCACTTGTGACAATAAGCAAAGGTCATTATAGTGTTACGACCATACGACGTACGGGAATGAGTTATCAGCTGTCTAATCGTAGACAACACAATGTCGAGCCTTAAACTGTAAGCCCGTATTGGTATTGTTTCTTTTATTTGGCTGTCGAACATTATTTATGGTTTGAAATATGATTTTATGTAAAATAATTGATATGAAAAAGCCGTCTTATAAGTTATGACCCCATTTCACCACACGCAAGTGGCAGAAATGACAATGATCAGCTGACGCATTTTTCTTGGCCGAAGTCAGAGCGCGCGGCCCGACGCACCACGCGTATTTGGAAATTCCGACCTCGACGAGCATCAGAAGCCACCTAACAGGCGTGTTCGAAACCGCAGGAGATGATGATGAACGGGTTTATCGAAACTTGATTGGATGAGCATATCGGTAATAGCGATTTCAGTGTGTGCATTTATTGTTCATAGTGGTGTGAAATGTGGTTGGGGTACGACCGACAACCCGTCGGGGCGAATTTCGCACTGGGGTACTCAAAATTTGAAGAATTTAAGACGTTTCCATGAGTTTTGAAGGTATGGATAAGTTCTAAAAATCCGGTTCTCCTTATCTGGGCCATTAACTCCAAGATTACTTTATTACTCAGGTTGGTTCACTAGGGAAATAAAGGCGCCGTGGTGACGTCACGGATTTGGTAGCAATCTGGTAGCAATTTTTGCAGACATCAATGGCGCACGTGTTGTTTGATCGTCGCCAATACTATTTTACTGCACTATTTTGTTATTTCACTGCAATGTATTGTACATTACATTTGAAAATTAAAATAAAGAGATATTCGTAACCCAGCAAGTCAGTTATTTTTTGAGGCAGCACTCTGTCAGCATTGAGCCTTCAGAATGTGTTATTTGATAGACTTTCCCACATTTTCTACTCTTGTGGAAAACTTTGTTAGTCATCAAAAATGTATGCACATATGAATAATTAGAACTTCATTTTCAAAGTTTTATAGAAATAAGATTTCACATTACATTATCATAAGGCTACCTGTCCATTTCGTCCAACCAATTAAATATTCATCCAGCAGAAGGCAGGTACCTCTGAGAAGGTACTGATATCTCTTATCTACTGTACACCAATATTTCAGGAAAATGACAGAGACTGAGAAGCTATTAAAACTTCAGCGTATGAAAGGGATGTTATGGCTTATGCACATTGAAAAACATCAGATAATGCTTTTGAACCATCTCATTCACCAGCACACATCAATCCGGCTCCTGGCTTCTGTCAAGGAAACATTCCAAAATAATGCATTATTTTATTTCATTGACCACCTTGCAAAAGACAAACAGCAAACACATCACCACCAAAAACAAAAATAGTCAACAGGTAGGTACCAGCTAATCTAGCCGTGCTGTGTCATGTGCCTTTGAAAAAACTTGAGCAGTCAGGGTTGAATAAACACCCCAAACTTAGCCATTCATGCATGAACAAGTGCAAATTCTGGTCGAGCATTTAAATAAAAATGAAACTAACAGCATTGTAGGTTACAATTATAAAAAAGACAATTACAAAAAAAAACAGCAGAGCTTACTCTACAAGGCATAACCATTGATTTTATAACTGACATCCAAATTCGCATCTCCGAAGTTTAACCCACCTACCAGCCACCTGCACATTTCTGCGCACATGTGCTGCGCAGTGTGCACAGTCACTACACATTACACAATTATGAGAATTAAAATAGTTTTAAACAATCAAGCAAGTCAGGACTGGTATGCAGATTCACAAGTTCTCTCAACATCTTCAATTACCAACAATCAAGAGCACCTTGTGATCTCAGTAACTCCGCAGATCCATCTTCTGTTTTCCATTTTCAGTTTTTAATTGAAATATAAGTTCCATCTGGGAGACACATGTTGCATCATTATGTTTAAACAATTATTATGCTTGAACTTTTGATTTTTCATGTGAACTTCACTTCAAAAGTTGATTCAATTTTTAAAGTTGATATAGGTAATTTGTATAATGCTACGATCACGGCGCACCAAATCACAGATAACTTGAAAATAACCAAGCAAAAGCCACATTCTTCAGCAAACTATGAGAGCTATCTGATCCATGCTGCGTTGAAATAATTGAAAATCGCCTAAATCAGTCGAAATATGACAATTAAATTAATATAAACTTCACAAAACTCTGATTTGTGAGGCAATGCGCAACAGAACAGCGTTACCGCTGGCGTCTCGCTGGTTTCCCCAGATTCTCACGAAAATTTCCCTATTTTAAAAATCATTTCCCTAGATGCGGTTATTTTCATGGAATTTGACGTATGTACTTTCCTCATTTCGTGTTATAGTAGCTGCGTCCCAAAACAGCAATTAACTGCATTACAGAGTTGGCCTACGTTACGTTATTTTGAAGTTTTCGGTAACCCGTAGCTGTCAGTACCGTTCCGTAGCGTAATTGGGATGTTTCGAAAGCGTAGTACGGAAAATAATAGAATAACGTAGGAACTACGAAATGGATTCCGTAGCAATTACAGGTCAGCTGTATTTGTATAAGGTACATATTTTTTTTCAGTTTACTCATATCGTCACCAGACCTCCGGCCGCTTACACGGATGTGAGATGCCTGCTATATGAATACCACTGAGTCTTTCTTCCGGCCGGACCGACACCGAGGATTTCCCACTGGGTCCCCTGTCGGAAGTCCAGCGCATCTAGCGAGTAGCGCGTAGGCACCGCCGCACCGACGATGCTGCAAAGCCGGCGATCATTGTGCGCAGTATTTGGCTTACTACACCTTTTTAGGCGCAATTTCAAAAATTTAAAGACCAAATTCAAAAAGTTTACATTCAAAATGCACGTGAACGTTTTGAATTTGGTCTTTAACTTTTTGAAATTGCGCCTAAAATGCTGTAGAGACTAACCGTTTCGACTGGGTAGTGGATGATGACATATTGCATAACGTAGTACGATAAAATAATTTGCTGCGTTAATTAACAAATACCGTAATTCAGTAACGTAGCAATATAAAACGTATCGTAATTCGGTATCGTAGTTTTGCCCAAAAAAGCAAACGTAGCGTAACGTAGTGCGTAACGTAGCGTAGCGCAGGCCAACTCTGCTGCATTATGTGACGTTAACGTAAGAGATTCTAATGAAATTGCTGGCATATAGCAAATTACTATTTGTGGTATAATATAATTGCGTAGTATATCGCAAATTGTAGTGTGTTGCGGGACGCGGGAAACTACCGTATGGGTAGCGGTAGTGCTGGCGTAAGAGACGGGTCGATGGATTATTTTGCACCGTCAGTTTCACCGTAAGGAAGTCATATGCGCTAGACATGGTAAAAATCGCGCCAAAACAAAAACTTTGATGTAAAAAATTAGCCGCTCCCGAAATGTTACATAGCAGAAGCAGTTTGTTTTGAAATAATAGCAAGAGTTATAATTATACATGCATACCTACATATGTAATTCCCTTTATATCTTTAAAACGAGAGCATCAAAGCTGAATTATGTGAAAAATGTTCTCATATTTATTTGATATGACATGCGGAAGAATAATTCATGACAACAATGATTTCGATTGTTAAAACAAAACAATTTTTCAGGTTTATGGCATTTCCCTAGATTTCGTGTGAAATCCATATATCCCTAGATCTTCGCTGATTTCCATAGAAAAGGGAAATTTCCCTAGCAGCGGTAACCCTGCAACAGAAATGCGAGGGAATATGGTAGTAATCTGGTAGCAATTATGAAGGATTTCCCCTGTAGCTGATAAAAATCACAAGAAACATTTTTTTTAACGCAGAGGAAATCCTTCATTATGAGTTGCAAGGACCATTTGATAGGCCCATTTTAGTCAAATATAGGCCGATTTTTTCTATTTCAACCCCATTTATCGTAATTAGACGAATCCATTGGCTTATTGGTACGTCTTTTGAACACATGTAGGCCTTAGATTTCTCCTTAGCCCGCCTGAAACACACCATGCTTTGCATGCATTTCTATGGGTGAAGGAAAATTCATGCGCCGTGATGACGTCACGGTAAAGGAATTCTGAAGCTCGTGAACGGGGGCTGATTAACTCCATACGGTCCAAGAAAGCTGGCACACTACCTTTAAAGCATTGCATTAAACTTTGAAAAGTGTGGTACAGTGCACGTGCCGTTTAAATGCCTGGATGTCTCGATTTAATCATACAATGTAGCAGGTATGGGAATATACAACAACTGCACGCAGCATATTTTTGTTTTACCGCAGTTTAAACCGGAGTATGCCCTATAATGATGATCTTTGTGATTTGAGGGCGCCAGAACTGAGTGGAACATCAACGCATAAACATTCTACACTTATTTTCACTTATTAAGTTATTTTAGAATATCCGTCTATCAATAAATGACGAATATCCGTCAGCTATTTTCCCAAACATTCACGACTCGCGCATTTTCAGTCGGTAACCGACCTGGCTCACTCTCGTTCTTCGTTAGCCTGCCACGGAGTTGGGCATACGATGATGATGTTTGGGTTCTAGGAACGATGGCTGCATATTAGGAGCACATTTTTTGGTAACAGCTCCATCGCAAGATGGCAGCACGACAAATAGACCCATTTACCGGTAAAAGCCTTTACGCTACCGCCCTAACGCGTCTGTAATTGATAAAAACGCCCCCGCAGACACAACAAAGTTGATAAAATCACGCCGCTTCATTGATCGATGGGTTCCCTTGCGGGTAGCAGGCGGAGGAAAGGTAAATGTGGGCAGAACAGCACAGTTCACAACTCAGGACATAAAAAATTATACAGTTAGATGTCACTTCAGTGCATGAGCTGCAATGACAGCATAATCCTAACAGCCCCCGATCAAATTAAAGGGACTATCCCACCTTTAACATGGGGTTTGAGTTCAGATAGCCAAGTTTGCGGCGAGGTTCAGAAACCACTATCTATCTAGGTTGCAACCCCCGCAGCCTTTTGGTGTTGAAGAAATTCGTTCCCTTTATTTGAAAATGGGCCTTGTACAAGGCCCTATCTTCAACATGGAGCGACCGTTAGTGTGACGTCACCTCGTTTAGTCATTCTGATTTAAATGGGTTTGTTCGTTGAAAAATCGCTTAAAACTTGGTCTGAACTTTGTTGTGGTGCCTACAGAGTAAAAAGAATCAGCTTTCTGACAGTAATGTGGCCTGGGGAAGGAGGTAATTTTGGGCTGTGACGTCACATATTTGAAAGTTTGTGTTTGGAATATGGGAAGCCTAAGATGTTTAATGAAAAATAAAGGCCAGAACCGTGTTCCTGGTCATCCAATCTATAAAGTCGGGCACAATTTAACTGGTTTTAACAACATTTTAGAAGGTGGGATAGTCCCTTTAATAAAAGTGGAAATTGTGAAAGTTTGAGCAGCTCAAACCTAAATGACACCAAAAAATGACAGAGCAAAACTGTTTTTCTTTAACTGGAAAACACTTGAGCAAGAGTGGAGTTCGTTTTTATTATCCGAGCCAGCAAACATTCATCAGCTCTCTCTCCTCCTTTCATCTCTGTCTCTGTCTCTGTCTCTGTCTCTGTCTCTGTCTCTGTCTCTGTCTCTCTCTCTGTCTGTCTCTCTCTCTCTCTCTCTCTCTCTCTCTCTCTCTCTCTCTCTCTCTCTCTCTCTCTCTCTCTCTCTCTCTCTCTCTCTCTCTCTCTCTCTCTCTCTCTCCCTTCCCCTCCCTATCTCCCTCTCCCTCACCTGGAAGTTGTCGCAGGCGGCGCCGGCCGTCATGTAGATGCCCTGTCCGCCGCCGAGACCGAGCTCACTGCTACTGCGACAAGTGCTGGTGTTGTCGCCCCGCTGACAGGCCACCTCGCATAGCTTGCCGCGGTCCTCGATCACATCGGACGTCAGGAAACACTCCTTGAGGCCGTGCTTCAGACAGATGGAGCCCGTGCACTCGCCGGAGAGACACACCTGTGGATGGGGCGGGGCAGAGCGTCAGCGGCCGCCGGACACGCGCCTTTGGCACACGGCGGGACGGGAGGCCGTCGGATACATACCTCAGGACACTGCGGGACGGGAGACAGCCGGACATGCATCTTAGGACACGGGGTGACGGGGGACATAGATGCACCGAGAGCCTGTTGCACGGACACTTCAGGACATGGCAGAACACACGTAAGAACCCATTATAGAGCAGCGTTAGCAATGGCCAACTCAAGGGACACGGACAGGCAGCTGACGATCTTTGGTTGATGATGAGAGGGATGGAGAGAAAGTCATGGTGTTACGCATAGCCGCAAGCCAGGTATCCATCGAAAATGGAGTTGCCTATCAGACATAAAAACACTGACAACTGGGCACCATCGTGACAATAGAAGTGGGACAATTAGACAGGCACCTCCGTTGTGTGACGGGTCGGCAGTCGGCACACCCTGCTGGGTAGCTGATGGATGTGCGACAGTGCCACGCGGTGGGCACGTGCCGGCCAGCACACAATTCCCGGCAAACCAGCTACAGCCACTAGCCAGGCGTCAACAGACGAACATATGAGACATTCCTGTCAGCGGCACGCTGTGCGCTTACACGACCACGTCACAAGGCAGTCCGAGGTGTGACTCCGATCCAGCAATCACGGTGAAAGACTGCTCATAGAGAAAAGAATGAGAGCGTGTCTTATGCTATCCGGGCAACACTGGTTTTCTTCAGAAACATATTGCATTGGTATATCACCACTCCTGTGGATAACTCGGACGAGCTGAGACCACTCATCTCTCCGCACCTCTGACGGCCTCGCCTATATCTCAGCCTGACTAAATGTGCAGAGTGGAACCGCCGCTACCGCCAGCACTCACAGACGCTTGACGGTGGGAGGGTTGACCGAGCGGACGGGACCGAGCGCGTAATGACGAGCGAACGGCACGGAGCGCGTAATGACGAGCGGACGGCACGGAGCGCGTAACCTGAGAGGCCGCCAACCCTCCCCTGTCAGCGCCGCCGACGGACCGACCTCGGCGGCTTCGACGACCATCGGCTCCGACCATCGGCTCCGACCATTGGCTCCGCCCGTCACAGATCCGTATCCGGTTCAGAAGGGTTTACACCGAGGGGTCGAGACGTCAGCGACCTGCGCGGCGCCAGCTCTTGATGAGCGGGTTTCCTAGAACTGACTGCACTCGAGGATCACTAGCCGCATTTCCGTTACTATCACCTCACCAAGCTCAGTACAACGAAAAAAGTGTGTTATTATTTCAGCATTGCCTCTAACGAAGCGCGCGTGTGCGGCAGTATAGACCAATTCAACCATAGCTGACACACTTGTATCCAAAAGCAAAAAGTCCACCAATGAAACGAAACTAATAATGAGGCGACGCGTCCTCTGCCGGGAATTTTGTCGGAGACGTTGCACTACGCCGGATCCCGTCTGTATCAGGCCGCCGTGTAATCAGCGGGCAGCCGACGGGGAATAGGTGGTGGCCGGCGAGAGGTGACGTCACGAGGCCCGACCCGTGTCACATCCCGGCCGCGACCCACAACCGGGGCTGAAACGCGACCCGCGCCATCCCCAGGCCGGGTGAGCCGCGACCCGTGCCATCCCCAGGCCGAAAGAAGGCGGGATTAAACGCGACCCGTGCCATCCCCAGGCCGGGTGAGCCGCGACTCGTGCTATCACTCCAGCCGAGAGCGAGACTGGATTATTTATATTTGTGGGCTGGATGAGCCGTGACCCGTGCTAGACACTCTTGGGAGGCAGGGGGGAGGATTGTTGCCCCCTCAGAGATTCCAGACTCCTGCAGTAGACTCCCTACCAAGGCGCTCGCTAAATTTGACGGTTTATACAGCAGTATGCAAGGCAGATTCCGTGGCCATTGGTTCACACTCGGATTGTCAGAACTGATGGCGGCCGCCACCTGTGTAACGCAACAACGCAGTTCCGTCATACGCATAACTAGATAAGCGGCGCCGTGCGTCGGCGGATCCAGCCAGAAGCGTTCGACTGCGATTAATAACGAGAGGCAAATGAAGCTACGAATAACCCATTCCCACCACACTCGGATTCTATCGGTATTGGCAACTACGAAAAAGGCAATGTGATCGGCGTACATACACGCTTCGGCATGACACTATTTGTATCACTGTAAAACTGCACACTATGAGGCGGCGTGACGAAGATTATTTGTGCCACCTGAAGGCTCGTGTTATTGTAGGCATGTACGAGCATTATTACATTGCAATATATGAGTTATGCTATTCGTTAACCCACGCCCCACTGGGGGGGGCTATTTATAGCCCCCCTCCCGTTTTTCTGCAATAACTTCTAAACCGCTTGACGTATCGACGCCAAACTTTCAGTACCTTCGGTTGCATTAATTTGACATCTTGTGTCAAAATTTGAACTTCGTACCTACCATAGGTCGGCCGGAAATGACGTCAGAGTGACGTCATGTTCGGCCGATTTCGACGCAAAACATTGAACCACGGCAATCGCTCCCAAGAGCTCAGTTTTTAAGCTAGATCCAATTTCTTTATATGAGAGGACTCATAATAGACTGCGCTATCAAACTGCTATCTCGGATTTTCGAAATTTTGAAAATTTCGAAAATTTTATATAATTAAATCAAAAATTTATATTTTTACATTTTTTCATTTTTTTGTACTTTTCGAAAAATCCGGAATATATGTGATAGAACGCATTATTATGACTAACTCTAGCAAGTTTTAGCTAAATATCTTCAAAAATGGCCAAGTTATACGCATTATTGCAAAAAATTAACAATTATTAATTTTTCAAATCAATTTTTCAGCACGAATTTGACATCGTACGCCAATATAAATAGCCCCATCGTGTTTCTGAGCTCAAACTGCATCCAATAGACACCTTTTTTGTTGAAAAATTTAACCTTCAAAATTTGACCTTTTTTGACCTGAAAGTGACCTGACCTAAGCTCAATTTGATTCAAAATTACCTCGAATGACACAGTCGACATCAAATTCGAAATGTTTGGCCTAAATGGACCATAAAACATGTGTCACGTGACCGACGGATGATATAATATTTTCGTGACCTGTGATGACCTGACCTTGACCTGAAAATCAAAGTACAAGTTTGGTACCCTCAGAGTATCTAGAGCATCTGCTCACGAGTGTGTGAACCGAAAATGAGCCTGATCTGACTTGTAAGACGGCGGCCAGAGCCCAAAACGTGAAGAAGCCAAAATGCTAATAATTTTTACTTTGACCTGACCTGTGACGTCATCGGTGACCTCGAGGTCAATGAAATTAGGTTTCGCTCGACAGTTTTTCCGGGGCTATCAGACGCCGTTTGAATTTTGACGATCGGCCCAGTAGTTTCGGAGTTAGGAGGGGGGGCTATGAATAGCCCCCCCCCCCCCCAGTAGGGCGTGTTATACGCAGACCCCAGTGGGGCGCGGGTTAAATCTTCGCAAATACCCAAATGACTACAACTATTAACCCTGCACTGGACATGCGGCCACATCAAAGCATCACCATAAAACCATATATTAGGACGCCTTTCAGCATCATTGTTTTTACACGCCTCACGAGGCTCAGCTGGGCGCTGAACGCAATATTGGAGGGCCGGCGCACATTTTCTGTTTAACCGTGGATCATAAACGCCCAATGATGGACGGCGTGACGGCCGGCCGCGAAAAACAACTGTAACGACCCGCTGTGATGAAAAGCGCGTCTGTTGGCCTCATACCGCGCCGCCGTTCGTCAAATAACACACTGGCCACCGGGGTCCTGGAGGGTGGCTTATGAGGCACGTATTAGGGAAAGAGAGGGCAGTTCAGTTTGGCTGGATGCGATACACTGGATCTAACTATCAATATGTTTGTAGTGGTAATTAATTCAATTCATGATGCTTATCAGTTTGAAGAGTCCCTACATAAATGACCCCAACAACTGGGTTGCAGAAGTCAACATTTTTGAGCTACTTTAGTGTTTTCTAAGAAGGCGCAAATGGCGCACAAGATGTTATTAAACCTCACAAGAAGCGAACGGAGAGGTCGCATATGCATCCGGCATTTACTGGAATGATGGCACGGCTGAAACGCGAGCTGGGCAGCGGAAATCCTCCCTCGGTATCGCCCGCGTAAGAATGGCCACCCTCACACCACCCGAGCCAAAAGATGAGTCTCGTGAAGACGGAAATATAACAGCGAGTCGGGGAAAAAAAACGAGGTCTAAATGAACCACACTGCGGACAAATCCATTACCTTTTCTTGTTATATATATATATATATATATATATATATATATATATATATATATATATATATATATATATATATATATATATATATATATATATATATATATATATCAGAGTATTTGGGCAGGATATTTTCTTTGAGGCATATGTCGTTAAACAGCACCGCAGTTTTGGCTTTAGATAGTTTTCTGTTAAGTTTTTGTATCTTGTTGAAAGTACAGTTCCTACAGTTCCTAATCCTGAACTGTATTACAGTTCAGGAACTGAAATACAGTTCCTGATTCAATCAAGAAAACTTTCAACAAGATACAAAAACTTAACAGAAAACTATCTAAAGCCAAAACTGCGGTGCTGTTTAACGACATATATATATATATATATATATATATATATATATATATATATATATATATATATATATATATATATATATATATATATATATATATATATATTTCTAGTGTCTGTATCTGTATCTGTATTTTCGAAAGTACAGCCCACCGCTAAAGTAATGTAGGGTTTTACCAATCTCAACGGTTGGCTTTAACTGGCGATTGTTTAATGCGGAGTGATCGAAAAGAAGATGTCAATAGCTAAAGCTGCAGCTGCAAGGGTGGCGATACATATAAGCTACATTCAAAGTTTCATTGTAGTCTGGCTAATCGTCCCTAAGCTTCAGAATCAGAACATACCCATGACTGAAACCCCACATTACTTCTGCTGTGGACTGTACATCCAG